ATGGTAACATTTACAATAAATATTTCTTAGTATTTTTAATAAATATTTATGATCCGTGCAATTTAAGACTACAAAAATATTTACAAAATATATTTAAAATAAGTCTTATAAATATTTACAAACGTTTTTTAAATATTTTCGAAATACTGTGTACTGTCTGGACATTCTCATTAGTGTCCAATATGATTGTAAATACTAAATTGTAATTTGTATTCAATCATATCATTTTAAAATTATTAGTTTATTGACAATATTCGGGCATAATTTTTGGACAACCTTTTGATGCACATTATTATGGATAAAATATTTTCTTGTACAATAAGATAAATCTTATAATATAATATTAATAATATTAATACAATTAAATAAAAGTATGTTCAGAAGGGCTATGAGCCAAAATAAAAAGTTTAATATGAGTTAAAGCAAAGATACAAATAAGTAGATTACATTAAAATAAATTGAAATTTAAAGAACTTTTTCAAATTTGCTTGCTTTAACTCATATATTAAATTTTTTATTTTAATATTTCGTAGCCCTTCTCAACATACTTTTCTTAATTTTATTACTTAAGCTATATTATATTATGAATATTAATGTAATTCTTAATTATTGTGTAATATGTATTCATACTATTAATGATAGAACAAAAGCTGCAGAGAGTGACAGTACCGCGCAGCTGCAGCAAATGCAGCAACAATTAAATACTTTGCAGCAACAAATTTAATTTGTTGCTGCAAAATAATCAACTGCAATAACAACAAGAGCAGCAGCAAGAGCAGCAGCAGCAGCAGCAGCAAGAGCAGCAGCAGCAAGTGCAGCAGCAGCAAGCGCAGCAGCAGGCTAGCGGTATATACAACATATATACACACACACACATATATATATATATATATGTATATGTATAATGTACGTATACTAGATTATAGTTTTAAAGGAAAAAAACTCAATATTTCCAATTTTTCTGTGAATTTTTTCGGTTTTTTTCCCAAGGGTATAAAAATCCATTTTGGAAAAATTCACGCATACTCGTAAAACCTGTCATGTTTGCTTCTCGATTCTTTCCGTAAGAAAATAATTGCATATATGGTACACAGCGGGATAAGTTAACAGAAATTTTCAAATTGTACAAAAGATTGAAATTGCATAATATATTCAATAAAACATACATTATTGCACCATTAATGTAAGAATTGAAAATATAGAATCCAAACATCATGTTTATATGATAATAGTACGTTTAGAAAATAATTTGGATTTAAACTGAATTTGTAACAAAATATTTGAAAAAAAAATCTATAAAGAGACATTTCAAGAGTTTATTAGACCAGAGTATGACTAGAGTTAAAAATCTGTCTATTTAAACTTTGCCATTGTTTTAAAGGATTGTATTAAACAATTTGTTTAAAGGAAGATTAGATTAAGTTTGATTATAAAAATAGAAGGCTAACTAAAAATTTTTAATAAAAATAATGCTATATAAGTTCATAGGTCGCATTAATTTTATAAAGGAATTTAAAAGTTATTTACTATGCCTTTTACATAGCAAAAACAGCAATTTTTCCAAAAAAAATCAATTTTTCGGAAAAAAACCGAAATTTTTCCGATTTTTTTCCAGCAATTTGAAGAAAGCGGCTTTCTTAAAACTATATACTAGATGTATGTATATATATATATATATAT